TGCCGATAAAACGGTCGGACTCTACTCATCACTGGTATATGGCACAGAAGCATGGACAATGACTACATCCGATAAGGCGGCTCTTGAAGTATTCGAGAGAAAGATTTTGTGGAAGACTTACGGGCCTTTACGCGTTGGCGATGGCGAGTGCCGCAGACGATGGAATGATGCGAATTAAAATACAGCGGCTCCGCTGGCTTGGCCATGTCGTTCGAATGGACACCGACGCTCCAACTCGGAACCCGTTGGTGGTAGCACAGGAAGAGGGAGGCCCCCACTGCGATGGAAAGACCAGGTGGAGAAGGCCTTGGCTTCACTTTGCATTTCCAATTGGCGTCAGTTGGCACAGAAGAGAAACGACTGGCGTGGTTTGTTAAACTCGGCGAAAATCGCTTGGGCGGTTACAGCGCCAAATAAGAAGTGTAATTGCAAAACAACGAAAAATTCTCATTTATAGGATAAACATAAAATTTATTTTATTTGTTTACTTTTTACTAACTATTAAATTTTGATGCATTTATTTTTATTTAAATACATATCTACTGAAGAGAACATTAATTCACTAAAATTAGATTAAGTACAAAGATATAATTGGTAAACATACTGAAGTATAGGAAAGGCACGGAAATAATGGCAACTACATATGTACATACAAATGTAAGCACGTAATTTGTATATGTTTGCGATTATGCTCTCACATTAATTTGCACTCAATTGGAATGGCGAACCGGGTATATGCTCTTCGCCCCATTTGGCCACTACGAGATAATTGCCTGGATCACGCACCTCATATGTAATTTTATAAACATTATTTCCCATATGCTTAATGACAACCTCATCGCACTGTCCTTTCGGTCCGAATATGCCAACGAACAGCATATTGTTGCCCGCCGCCGAGCCATCAACAGTAAATTCGTTCCGGTCATCGAGAGAAATGTGTGTTAGGCCAAGTCCGCGATGGGTCACGCAATTGGCATCTGATTTGAAAATGGGCACTAAATAGGTGGTTTAGAAAAATTGTTTAGAGCTTATTAGTTTGCGAAAAAAAAAACAAAAACAAAAAAAATATCATTATGGTCAGTCAACTTACATTCCATTTTGCGAGCATTGCCCTCAGCTTCTCCACAAATGGAAATTATGATAAACGGTGATTTGGGTAATGGCACGGAATTGCATTTGATGTGTACTTTATAGAGGCCCGCCTCATTTAGATTAAAGTTGACATTCAAACGTTCAGGATCAAGTATTTGTAGAGGCATCACACTATTTATGCCAGATGGACTTTCGACCTGCAACGGGAAGGAATGGGCGCATTTTATTTTGAACTTATCTGGTGGGTTAAATCATAAATCTTGGAATGAAGCGGTAAATGTAAAGATTTTTTGGTGTAAGACCTCACCTTAACTTCAAAATTGCCTTTCACACCATTGCGTTTGATTATGAAATTGACTTCCGAGTTCACGAGCACGGCACCATTGGGAAAGTGTAGAAGTCTCACCTTGCTGGGATTTGTTAGCTCGGGAGCGACGAGCACCAATGGACCTTCGGTAGGATAGGCATCTGTAATGTTAGTAACACTATTTTAACTACTTAATGAAATTAGCTTTTATTAATTAAGAAAAATTNCTAGTAAACAAATATAAGTTCGGGGGAAACCGAATTTTATATACCCGGCGCAGGTATTAAATATCGTCGTCTCAACTCATGGCGCAATAAACATCTGGTGTAATAAAACAGCTTTCTCGCTTTATCTTCTGACATTCGGCTGCCTTATGAACAACATTTAAAGGCAATTCTTCATATAAGGCAGTTTCAAAATCTTTCTTCTCGCTCTAATTACTAGATGGACCTTTGTAGTCA